CGCCTCGCTTCGCTCGGGCGAGCGCCTAGCGCCTCGGGCGTTTTTGGACCTTGGCGCCTAGCGCTTTTTAAATCACTGAACACGATAAGAAAAGGCATATATCAATACCAGCTCTATTCCTTTGTTTCTATTGTGTATGTAAGTTTGTAACTTTATATCCAATAGTTACAATTTCTCCATGTTTTCCCAATTGAATCAGTACAAAAAACTTATGTTGATTTCCATTCCGATCACATATCTACCGACACCAATATCTTGCTTAAAAAAGTCCCGTCATTTGATTTTCTAGATAGGTGATGTTTCAACTGTCATGGAAATTTTGGGTCGTGAGCACCAATGTTTCAAAAAAGGCGCTCGGGCGCTCAAGCGAAGTGAGGCGAGGCAAGGCCTAAGCGCCTCGCACAATTACTGGCCAACACACTTCAATTGAACTAACCCTTATGTCACGGACTTAGCTGGTTTTGCCTAAATCGTGTGGCACCCTTACATATCCGTCGACAACGGATCAACCTCCCCGAAACCTCTTATGGTCCATTAAGGACCTACAATAGAGAAGACGAGTTAGAAAAAGCGTTTAACTCGGAATCCACAAGCAACCATTTCAACAAACACTTGATAGGCAATGTAAATTACAAACGTAGACTTCACAACTCTGAACGGTCGCATAACAAAAGTTCCAAGTCGTCCGCCATGACCCAAAGTCCCCACAAATGCCTACATGACACTGTTGTGGAACAAGATAGCGAACCAGCCCTAGACACTACCTGAAAGGCCCATCCAATCATGTGCCACCTGGGTAGCTCCTGGGTATTGTACTAGCTGACACTCCGCACCACTCTACCGAGCTAGAAAGCCTCCAAAATGATTGCCTGGATGGCTTATTTTTGGACAGTTTTGCCTCTACGCGACGACAACACAACTTGTGTTTATAAGCCTGAAACGGCCATAAAATCCAACCAAACTTGGGTTGTCAAACCTACCGCAAACCCTCTACATGTTGTGCAAAGTATGAACAAAACCAAAAAACACAGACATACATGAGCATTGCATCAAACACCTCGTTTACAGCTTTGTTTGTGACACTTAGTCGATTCAATCGAACCAACTAAGCATAATAGTAAAACACCCCCACCCTCCCCAACCGCATGACCCCTATGTACTTCGTCGCCACGACTCACCTCTGGTCCTACCATTCATTGCCTTCGTGCACAACCGCTACGCCCGCTGCTGACGCACAGGTTCGACGCTTCCTTTGTCATCGACGGACGGGTCTGAAGGTCCCGCTATTGTAGCTTTTGTGCACAGTTCCCTCAGCCATCGCTGCTTTCGTATGCAGCTCCTTCCACCGCTAAGGGACAGGACTACAGCTTCCTCTGTCACTAACGGACACATCTGAGGCTTCCTTCGTCATTGCTACCGTTGTCACCATGCACAACTTTCTCTGTCGTTGTTGCAACCATCCACAACTTCCTCCACAGCTGCCCCGTGAAGGTTCCTCCGTCATCGTCGCTGCCATCCGAAGGTTCGTCTGTCATCATCGCCCTCTCATTCCCCATATTCCATCGTCGGAAACAGTGAACTAAATACTATTAATATTATATTGTTAATCATTAACTGATATTAAAACTACTGATAAGTGTTAACTATTCTTATTATATAATAAACTAAACTTGGTATTAATGCTTAGAACTATAAATCTATTTAAAACTAATTCCTATTTAAAATTACTAATCCTTATTTAGCACTATTAATCACTATTTAGAGTTGTTATTACTCTCTATTTAGCACTATTAATCTCTATTTATTTAGAACTATTATTAGGGTTATAGGATTAATGACAAATGTACAAAGCAATTCAAAAGATTCATAAAAAAATTCAAGGATCCTGCTTCGAAATACAATTATCTAAAGGATCCTAAAGATTGTAATGCAATTACTTACATCTTTTGTGATAAGATTACTAGAGATGGCATTTTCCATGCAAAACAGCATCAAGTAGGGAACTTCAAGAATGCATCAGCATGCAAGAAGTGTCCACCTGATGTAAAAGAAGAGTTGTTATCTTATGGGATTTTACCCGACGATGAAGTTCTACATATTAGAGACGATGAAAAATAATATTATTCCACTCCTTTGTTGGAGACAGTTACATAGTGAACATTGCCCAATTTTTCTAATTATTTCACATAGATCTTATAGGACATAGTTAAATTTCTGTAAGTGAATAAATCAATCTTATGAAAGGCTCAGCGGAGAGAAAGGCCACAACATTGTCATAGGAAAAAAATGGACTCGTTAGATTTCATAATGCAGCATCTTTAAGAGGTGTTGACAAGAACCCAGAAATGAAAAGAAAAGAAAAAGCACTCAGGAGCGCACCGGACACTTGGTTGAACACTGGTGTAGTATTGCAGAACATTAACGGCAGAAGTCAAATCGTGCATCTGAAGCAGCGCCTATTGGACAAAAGCGAGAGAAGAAATCACTGGAAGTGGTGTAACAACAGAAGGTGAAAAGCCTGGCCACTAAAAAAGAGGGAAAACGAAACCTGGTTTTTGGCTCGTAACATCACAAGCTTGGTGACAACTCCAAACGGCTGCACTAACTGAAGAAGATCATTCTGTAGAAAGAATGTATCTCAGACTCAACCACAGAAAACAATTCCCTTTCCATCAAGGCCCTAAAAACGAAAATTTATACAAGAAACCCACCTCAGATATCTCATGTCCAACATTGCGGATGTGAATTACTTTGGAGGGTTCCGTCATTGTCGAACTTCACCCTCTAATTTCAAGCACGAAGCGGAAGAGCCTCAAAAACTACTCCTCGACTTCCTTGTAGAACGCTATCTACAGAAAATTAGATCTTTATTGTTCCAATTCCATACGAAAATGCAAAAAAGAAAAAAAAAATCAATCACGGAGGATAGGCGGGCATCTAACGAAATTCAATCTTTGATGTTTCAATTCCACATAGAAATGCAAAAAATAAAATGAAGACCAAAAACAATCGAGGAGGCGAGCCGGAAGCCCTAACCATCCGCGAAACAGATATTTAAGACCACCGTCGGGGAGAAAACACTGAAGTCCGAATCTAACCCGAAAAGAGAGAGGACGCGACGAAGAAACTATAGGTATGGTCAGAGCTTTACCTCGACCGACGGGAAGGAGGATCGCGGCGTAGGGTTCTTGGTCGCAAGAGGCCCGAGCAAATGAGATCGATTACGTAGGAGAAGGCAGGCTCCGATTAGGGTTTGTTACCGGCTCTCCTTCGGATGAGACAGTAATCTTTATCGTAGTCCGGGACCCGCAGTAAGTCTTCCAGCGCTCCTCCGGAACACCGAAACCAAATAATGCCCTCGCAATCGACGGCCTTTGACTGATTGGCGATCCATCGTGCGCTGTTACTTCACCGTCTGATCAGATCGTTCGGCGTCTCGAATTTTAACTTGCGAGGTAGGTTATCAGGCAGCGACGCATACGTCTCCATTCTCCATTCTCCAATTCGTAACTGCTTTCCCCGAGGAAGAAAAGATCCGTCGGTGGCACGTGACCGCTTCATCGTTATTAATGTGCAGACAGGGGATCGGTATGGCGGGAATTGGAAGGGAGCGTTATATGGTTTCGCGACAGGTCTAAATTCGATTACGTTAAATCTCAGTGACTAAAAATAGAATACTAAGATATCGATATCTTAGTTAACTCACTTATTTAATAAAATTATAATATTCAGAAATATATTTAATAAATAAATAAATAAAAATTAGTACTGATTTAAAATTATTTAAATTATAGAAAAATAAAATCATTAGTCATATTAAAAAAAATTAGAAAAAATTAAAAATAGAATAAGGATCGAAACAAATATCTTATTTAGTTATATGCTTGAAAGATTAATCATAAAAGTTATTTATTTATTAAGATAATTAATAAAAAAAATAAGGGAGAGAAAAAATATTTGTATATGTTTTTATTAAACTAGAGAAAGTCATTTCTAGAGATTTATTATTGTGATTTTAAAATAAAAAGTATATCTATTAATTATATTAATTTTATTAAATATATGTATGATGATGTGGTATTAGAATTATAAAGAATATATCTAATAAGTTTTCTGTTAGCATAGATTTATATCAGGAATATGTTTTTTTAATAATTAATGAACTTACTAGTTATTTAATATGATGGGTTGGTTAATGATAAAATTATTTTGGTTGTAAGGGTCTAAATGAAATTAATTATAAGTTTGAGCTACGAAGGTAAGTCTTAAAAACTAAATGTTTTAGATAAAGTAACACTAAAACTAAATATATATGAGATATAATTTTAATAATTTTAGAAAAACTCAATATAAACAAGAGAATATAGTTAAATTAGGTGGACAAAAAAAAAGTAATAAAAATTTTAAGTATCTTGGATTAACTATTTAACAAGACAAAGTAAAAGCGAAATGGTTAAAATAATGACAAAGTCTTGTCTGATTGTTGGATATATTTAAAATAAAAATAAAAATTTGTAAGACAATTGTGATACTAATAATACTTTTATGAATCCGAGTATTGGGTAATTAAGAAATAACATATAAAAAAATTATATTATCAAGATAAAATATTGAGATAGATGTATGAAGTTATATAAAGAAGGAAATACTAAGCATCGCTTTGCCTAGTTAGAATGTGTCAAGTGCATAGAGAGCGAGGTTTGGTGTATCGCATTAGACACGTCACACATACACATGTTGCTCGACTGGAATGCATCAAATACAATGAAACACTTTAACCAGCCACAATGGACAGTATCGAGAGAGTATGAAGATCTCTAATCGACAAGGGAACAGTTTGCCCAATGAGAATGCAACAAGCACAAGAATTTCTTTGGCAATAAAGGTTGCATCAGATGCTTCTTGAGAGGGCTTTTCTTTTGTATATTAGGTAGCATCAAGCGCCAGTGAATCTTTTGATGGTGAAGAAGACCTTTTTGTATACTCCACTCTGGTTACATCAAATATTTCGTATGCTATACTTGAGATTAAGATGCATCAAATGCAATGAGATTGCATCGAACAACGCTTTGGATCGACTCCTAAGGTACTGGGCAGAGTTGAAGTGACCTGCCACTGTTCTTCAACAAGGATGATGCTCTTTCCGACTGACAACCCAAAGCAGCAGCACCAGTAGGCACAGCCAAAGCAGTGGGCAGAGTTTTAAGTGACCTGCTTCTGTTCTTCAGGAACTCAAAATCCAAAGCAGCAGCGACGATAGGCACACTCATTTTGAACCACGAAATGTTTCGAGACGAATAAAAGGTGTGCAATCTAAATCACTAATGGCGCACTCGTTCTCATGCCTACAGGCACACATGATGGATTCAGATGAAAGGTGCTTCCGATCATGGATGGGAGGACAAAACTGGAGCGAGTTGGTGGGACGCATCAGGTGCTTCATTCCGCACATTCAAATGAACGGGAGAATGCTTACATCCTGGTGCAGAATGATTACAAAGACAAAACCGAGGTCCTCGACATCGATGGAAGCAGAGGCAATGGATCACAGAGAGAAGAAGACTAAAAGCAACAACATGGTCTGCTAGAGCTCGTAACTGGGAAGAATCCCTACTGGTGGAGTCGAAATGCGAGCATCAGATTGATGCTTGGTGGCTCGAGCCTTAGTTCGCTTTCAGAACCTTGACTTTCTCCCATGTGAAGTCAGGATCGTCGCGGCCAAAATGGCCATAGGCTGCAGTCTTCTGGTACCTCAAGTTGCCGCCCCTCTTCAAGACGAGGTTGATCGCGATCATCCCCGGCCTGAAATCGAAGCTTTCTTTGATCAACGCCAGTATCTCTTTGTCAGGTATCTTCCCCGTTCTGTAACTGTCCACGAACACCGACAGCGGCTCCGGCACGCCGATGGCGTAGGAAATCTGAACGATGCACCTCCGAGCAAGTCCAGAAGCCACCACGCTCTTCGCGGCCTGCCTCGCGATGTAAGCGCCGCTGCGGTCCACCTTGGTCGGATCCTTCCCTGAGAAGGCGCCGCCGCCGTGGGCTCCCCAGCCGCCGTAGGTGTCGATTATGATCTTCCTGCCGGTCAGCCCTGCGTCGCCTTGAGGCCCGCCGATGACGAAGCGACCCGACGGGTTCAAGTGGAATATGGTCCTGTCGTCGATGTATTTGGCAGGGATGACCGGCTTGATGACATGCTCTTTCAGGTCCATGGCGATCTGCTCGTTGGTCACCGACTCGTCGTGCTGGGTGGAGATGAGCACGGTGTGCACCCGCACGGGCACCATCGCGCCGCCTTCTTTCCGGTACTCGACGGTCACCTGAGTCTTCCCGTCGGGCCTGACCCACGGACACGTCTGGTTCTTGCGCACCTCCGTGAGCTTGGCGCCGAGCTTGGTGGCCAGGACGTGGGTGAGGGGCATCAGCTCCGGCGTCTCGTCCGTGGCGTAGCCGAACATGTGGCCTTGGTCGCCGGCGCCGATCTCCTCGGGCTTCTTCGTGAGGTGCCCGTGCACTCCCTGGGCTATGTCGGGGCTCTGCTCCTCGATGTTAACAAGGACCTTGCAGCGGTCGGCGTCGAGGCCAACGTCGGCGGTGACGAAACCGATGCCTCGGCAAGTGTCACGAACAATCTTCTCGTAGTTTACCTGGGCCTTGGTGGTGATCTCGCCAAACACCATCACCATGTTGGTCTTGGTGCAGGTCTCACAAGCGACCTTGCTTTCAGGGTCCTGTTCCAAGCAGGCATCAAGTATGGCATCGGAGACCTGGTCGCAGAGCTTGTCGGGGTGGCCCTCGTTGACAGACTCCGAAGTGAAGAGGAAGCTATCCATCCGTAACTAAAACATACCGATCCATCAAGAACAAGGCGAACATCGAAGTGACAGAGAAAGGAACTGCCGTACCTGAGAGAGACAGAGAGAAAGGCTCGCTTTCCTCGGCGTTGGAGAAGGAGGAAGAGGGCAGGAGCGGAAGCAGGAAGAAGTAGTCCCCGCCACAAGAAAGGAAGTCCGCTTAAAACCGTGCACGGCGTCGCGTGTGACTCGCTCACCCCTTACCTCTTCTTGCCGAAGAGTGACCGGAGTCCGGAAGAGAGTGGATTGGGTGCGGCCCGTGGCCGCTACCGCTGGTGGCTGATAACGTTCCATTCGTTGGGATCAGCGGCTGACACGTTATCCTCTGGTTCGGCAAGAGAGAGTTTTGGCGATGACGGACTGCCTTGTTCTTGTTTGGTAACAGAGGGAATAAGAATATATTTTTGAAATAAAAGAAAATAAAATCCTCAAATTTATACTATTAAAATTATTTATATGAAGCTATACATATGTTTTAAATTGGATAAAAATCTTTTTCTAAAGCTCATCGAGATCCGATTTCAAGATCTTACTATCTACATTGAAAATTATAATCGATATTATAAAATTTATGGATCTAACTCTCAATCCCGACAAATGGATCACTAATTTTCTAAGCATTAAAATTGATCTAATGATATTTCTAATCTCAAGTTTTTCTTTATCAAATTTTTTTTGTATCAATTTGATAAAAAGCTGATCAAATAGTTTAAGTCTGATCAATTATGATAATTACATTTTTTTTATTCTTAAGTATGCAAATATTTAATTTTAATTATATTTTAGATAATATATATATATATACTCTATTATTAATTAATATATAATCGGATGATATTATTTGAGTTTAACTCATAATCTAACGACTTAAGCCTTTGTGTTAAATTAGTGTCTCATTATTAATGTTCTATCAGAATAACCTTGCGATTGTGAATATTACTAATCATCATTAATGGAGTTAGATACATTGATATAGAATGAGTTTGTGAATATTAATTACTACTCCAAACTGAGCATTAGAACAGTCGTGCTTGGAATTCCGGGGGAGAAAGACGATAAGATCATTGCAGTTTCTGCTGATGATCCTAAGTTTCGTCACTTCAATGACCTTGACCTTAATGAGCTATCTCTTCGTCGTCTTAAGGAGATCCGGAGCTTCTTTGAAGACTACTGTATCCTGCCAGATCCATCTTTTAACATAACAATCGAGCTTCTGGTCTTTTTCGGTTTAATTTTTTTTTTCTGCAGCAGGAAGAAATGCCAGAATCCTTGACAGGTTCTCGATTAATTCTCGCCTGCAAGTACTGCTCTTATGATCTATCTTTGCGGCCCGAGCAAACTCGTATCTCCTCTTTCCCAAATTAGTCCTTTTTTATTCTTTTTTTCCGAATTAATT